TAGGGGGAAAAATTCAGAAGGGCAGGATGTGAAGCATAACCATAATATGCCCACTGCAATAGTCCAGGAACAATGGACAGGCCCAGTGATAGAAAGGATAGGGTAGAAACTTAAGAGAGAAAAGAGAGAGCTACTCAGAGATGGGAAAAAAGATTTGAGAGTAATTAGTGTATAAAGATAGGTAAAAACATAAGTGGGGTTAGGGGTCAGTGAAGTAATGAGAGAAGAGCAAAGAGCAAGGACAGAAAACTTGAGGATACCAGGGTTTTAGGATTGTGCAGACGATGACAAATACACAGGCAGACTAAGATATGGCAAACAGAATAGTATTTTAGAAGCTGAAATAATATTTTAGAACAAAGAATACATGGTCAACAATGAGAAATGAAGCAGAGAGGTCTACTAGCATAAGGATGGAAGAGCACTGACTGGATTAGGTAATTGAGAGGTCACTGGTGACCTTGGAGAGAGGAAAGGATCTTGGTAGAGTAGAGAGGTCAGAAGTCCTGAGAAAATACAGATTATTCTTTCAAATGGTTGATTTCAAAGAAAAGGATAGAGATTAGGGACTGCCCAAGAGCTAGAGTCAAGAGAAGGGTTGTTGTTTTTTTTTAATACTTTATTTATTTGAGAGAGAGAGCATGAGAGAGAGAGAACACAAGCAGGGAGGAGGGGTATAGGAGAGGGAGAAGCAGACTCCCTGCTGAGCAGGGAGCCTGATGCAGGACTTGATCCCAGGACCCTGGGATCATGACCTGAGCCAAAGGCAGACGCTTAACTGACTGAGCCACCCCAGCACCCTAAGAGAAGGTTTGATTTGAATAAGAAAGACTTAACCATATTTATAGGCTGGGAGAAATCCTGGGATAAGAAAGAAAAATAGTAATAAAAGGAGATAATCAGAACCAAATTCCTAAAGTGGTTAAATGGGTTAGAGTCCCAAACATTGGGGGAAGGACTGGATATGAGCACATAGAAGGCATTGCATCTTGCATCAGGAAGGAAGTGGGAGGACTAGCAGGAGACATAAAGACATAGGGTGGGGCAGGAATTAGGGATCTATCTCACAACTCCATGACTTCATTTTATTGATAAAATAGAGGTGGGTTGTCTCCTGGGGGCTGGAGGGGGATGGTGTATGGCATTAGGTTAAGGGTATTGAAAGAACTGGTGACCTTTTGAAACAATCATAAGAGGAATGGGGAGAATTGGTGAACTAAGGATAGGACTAAGGCCTCTCATGTGGCATTGCGAGTCCAGGTAAAGCTGACTTTTCCTTAGTAGCACTTGGCCATTGAGCATGGATGCAGAGAAAGACAACTGTAAGACAGATCTGGGAATGAAGCTCCCCAGCCATGGTATAGACTAGCATGCCAAAAAATCAAGTGCACAGCTAACAGAGTGGTTTAGGCTGGATGCTTGGGAAGGTCTGGTAGTCCGAGAGATTTTCGGGGATCAAAGAGCGAGCTTTGTGGTAGCAGAATGAGAGTTCTACTTCCCTGCTTTCCTCTCTCCACTCTGGTGAGAGTCCTCTACTTGCTACAGCATGCATTACTGATAGAAAACCAAAATTAAATAGAGAAGGAGAGAAAGAGAGTGAGGAAACTCATTATTTCAAAATTCCTTTAACACTTTTCTTAAAAGGCATGAATCATGTAAATCATCCCCCCAAAGCCTTCTTAAATTCCAAGACTAAGAACAAAATTACGGTTAAACGTTTAATTAATGTTTATTATAGCTAGGATGTTAGTTTTAGAAAGGTCACATTTATGATACAATGAAGTAATATTTTTCACATTCTGTGGGTCTATTTTATAGTGCACTGGGGCTCACAGTATAATAAATATCTTCTATTATTTTGTAAGATTCTTGTATGCAAAGCTGTGTAGGCCTGAGATAATACTGAATTTCAAATCAAATGAGCTGGCATGAACCTTAGGGAAGTCACTTTATCTTTCAGGACTTCAGCTTTTAGACTCGTAAAATGAAGGATGGGGATAAATCTCCAAGTTTCCTTCCAGGTAAAAAAAATTGAGCATAATTTAATATTTTAAATTCCTATAGAATTGATAGGATTACTCCTTTTCCTTTATGATATACTTTTGTTGCTAGCCATAATTTATTGAGCCTCAGTCCTTGATCAGGAACGCAAAATCCAATGATAACACCATCTCTATGGGAAATAGAATCCATTTTGCATCACAATTTACTTTATGTTCCACCACTCTCTGTTTCATATTTACTCTTTGGAGGCTTCATCTCCAAAAGTTCAGAGATATTTGTTCACCATCTTGTGACCATGGGTCTCTGAGGAGATGCCATATTATATTGCTTTCAGAAACCAAGTCCCTGATTTCCGCGGGTGGGTACTCTGCAGCAACCCCTGCACATCTCAGGTTTATCACTGAGGATAATATGATAAAATGCCTATAGAGTATCTATTAGAATGCCTGAGATGTGGGAACACTTCATAGAGTATACCCAATACACTGAACAGCATGATACATGGCAAATAATCAAAACACAGCATTATTCTTGTCCCCCATTTAGATATTTCTCCTGCCACTAGATGAAAACTAAGCAGAACCCATGGCTCACCCTTGGGTTTCACAGGGTCCTACAGTCACTTTAAGTCACAAAATACAGTCTTGATTCAAAATCAAATTGCCCAGTTCCAAGAGATTAATCAACTCTTCCTTCTTTATTCAGATGATGACCTCTCCTTTCATTCCCTAGATGCTTAGACCATCAGAGTCCATGGGTAGGAGGGAAAAGGGGACAAGATGTATAGGAGAGGCCAGCAGAGTTGTCATTAGCCTGATGACTGATGCTGTCCCCAAGTAAACCTTGCAGGTGGTTAATGCTGATTCTTGCCCTCCTACCAGTTTTGTTGCCTTGATTGCCAGCTGGGAAACATTCCTGGAAACATTCCCCTGATGTGGGTCATTTACATTTTCCTTTGTCTAACTGCTTCTCTTCCACCTATCAGGTTCTCAATTAGTGCTATGCCACCCCACTTTTGGGGGGATCCCCTCCCCATTAGCAGGAGTCCTATTGGGAAGAAAAAGCTCAGACAGGCTGCCTTTGAATATGACCCTGTGCTACTAGGCAATGATTTCTTAAGCAGGGCACATACAAGATTGATAAATAGTATTTCATGAGGACCTTCCAGGTTCCATTTAGAATGTAAGAAGCTGGAAAGAATGTTGCCTCCCAATTTAAGCACAAGGAAAAGCTATATCAGAACTTTTCTCGAACCCATCAGAGGACTGAGGCCACAGGGCAAATAAGCCTGAGATTTAAAGAAAGGCAGATGTTTCCAAGGAGAGAGGCAATACGGGAACTAGCTTACTTGAGACAGAGCACCTGGAAAAGACAAGGCCACCATGTAAGTGGGTAAGAAGATTGTAGCTAATATTCTGTAATAAGTCAATAGTTAAATTTTTATAATTTGCTGTTGTCATAGAGCAGAGAGTATAGAACCCGTGAAAGTTACAGACAGAGGGGAATTTACACCCCCTTACAGGCTTTTCTCCACAGAAAGCTCATAAAAAAGATCAGGGTCAGGGGAGGTGAGCAGAGGAATATTCTTATGTTACACAGGTCTAAGAAATAAGAAAAAAAGCCCTACATGAGTGGCCAGCTCTTGGTTTTGGCTCAGGTCGTGATCTCAAGGTCATGAGTTGGAGCCCCTCACCCCATCCGGGCTCCGTACTCAGTGGGGAGTCTGCTTGAAATTCATGAAATGTGCATTAGCTCTGTAGCCCACCATAGGTAGTTCAGGCTTGATGTAGCTTCTATTCCTTCTAGGTCCCAAGCTTATGCAATGCCCAATATAATATCTTTTTGTTTAAAAATATGCAGAGCAGGCATTTTTCCTCTAATGTTTTAAAAGAGACATTTCTTTTTACATGCTGTTAATTGCTGTGGTATAACTATTAATTGCAGATTATTTTTTTTTCTACCCATAGAATAAAACTTGTTGTGCCATCATTCTCCTACCATGTCATTTATCAATAAGTAAAGATCTGTGGGGGCGCCTGGGTGGCTCAGTCAGTTAAGCATCTGCCTTCAGCTCAGGTCAAGATCTCAGGGTCCTGGGATCGAGCCCCAAATCAGGCTCCCTGCTCAGCGGGGAGCCTGCTTCTCCCTCTGCCTGCCGCTCTCCCTGCTTGTGCTCTGACTCTCTCTCTTTCTGTCAAATAAATAAATAAAATCTTTAAAAAAATAATAAAAATAAATAAAGTTTGTATACTTTACTGTAGTTATGCTGTACTCAATACAGTTTGTTTAATGGTCCAGCCAACACTCCAAGGGAGGCTATATCCACATGGGGCCTCCAGGACTCATGCACCAGTGACCAGTCTGGGGAATGCAATTATTCCCAACACAGCAGCCATCTCTGTTTTCAATTCTGCCATGGAGGCAGCTCCTCTAGTTCCCTGTGACCATCAGACACCAATCCTCAAGCTCCAACTGCAGGGGTTCCCCACTAACCCCTCCGAGGTTATGGGGGCCCCTACACTGGGTCTGAGGAAGAGGAACACGCCATCCACTCCACCTTTCGCTTTGCCCATCAAGCTCTCCCCAACGTGTCTCTTCACAAATCCTCTCTCCTCTTCACAATTTTACCTTTTTTTACATCTTTAATGTGAATGAGAGGTCCAAGAGTGTTTGAGCCAGAATCAGATTTTACTCTATCATTACATTCTGCATTTTCATCTGGCACCTCTCTCTGGTGTGCAGTATTTGTAGTTCGTGTTGGATACCGCTCAATCCAGACTTAAACACTGACCTGTCTTAAACAGACATCAACTTGAACCATATGAAATTGTTGATTGTTGACTACTGTTGATCTAAAACAGTTGCGATCTCATATGGTTCAAACTAACAATTTTATCCAAAATAAAATTTTTAGAGAAACTGAACTTTAGGTTGGGTTTGAGTTCTTAAATGAATGACAGGGAAAATCCTGAAACACCGCCAGCAGAGCATCTCACCTTGGCTTTCAGATGAGCACACAGTTCCTGTTGCTTTCTCCTGTCCTTAGCCAATGTGTCCTCCATTGCGTGTGCTGCACAGGCCTCGGCAAGGGTCAGCACAGCCTTCTGGATAAAGTCTCTCCTGTTCTCATTCCAATTTGATATCAGGATCCTTCGCTGCTCCCTGGCAAAGTGATATTGATCACAATATTTCTCATGTTCCACCTGAAAAGATAACAGATGGCAAACACTTACTATGAAACTGAGCCTATACTTTATGTCATTGTTACAAAAATGAATAAAATGAATTATAACCAATAATTTTGAAAAATTGGGGACAAACAGCTTAATAATGAATGCAGCAACCAGGACCAGGTGCCAGTCCCAGAGTTCTGAGCCTGTGGCTAACCAGTGACTAAGGACCAGTTGTTTAATATTTCTAAGTCCTTAGTTTCCTCGTAAGGGATGGAGTCTGATTAGGTGGCCCTAAAACATTTTCCATGTCTACATGGCAGTGAATCTATTCACAGAAAGAATTACTACCCCTGTATATAATTTCAAAGATACTCCATCTTTTAATTAGTTTGGGTATTTTAACAATTACTTCAAGTGCTTCACTTAGATACATGCTAATAAACATAAATCACTATCATAATCCCCAAAACTCAGTTTGTCCTTGGTTACTGAAATATTCAGGTTTTAGGATGTCTAAACTTGAAGGAATTACAGCGGTGATATTAGTTCTTCCCATCCTATTGTCCTGATGGACATGACATTCTCACATGGGTACTGGTAATTCCTGTTGGCAGTGAATCCCAACCACAGGAGATCTCAGAGTCTTGAGGGGAAGAACAGGAATGGAGATTGCCTGAGTCGTTTGAAAAATCTTTGTAGGTGATTCTGAAATGCTCCTTATATAAAGTTGTGTCTCCTGAAATTGAGAGCCAGTGGCCTACATAATTCTTTATCTTGCCAGTATAGACCACATCTCTGAATCTGATACATTATTTAACCCCTAAGTGGTGTAAGAAAAGAATCTAGCAAGGAGGATAAGGTTGTCCTAAAATAATAGTCTAGGTATGGTTAATTAGTTACATGATGAAACAGGCTATGGATTCAATGAAACCAAATATCAGCTACTAAAATATGTTCTGGAAACTTCTGAGCTTTGTTCCCAAAAGCCAAAAATATACTTAGAATCTGTCAAACACTAAGAAAGGAAGCATACGCCATGCAGAAATGCATACTAATCAACCCAATATAAGAAGTGAGTATAAAAATCTTTATCACGTTAATAGGTAAATACAAAAAATTACAAAATTAAAATTGATAGCTGGTCACAGAAACAAAGAGAATCAACAGGGAATAAAAAGAAAGATCTAACTTAATAAATTAAAACTTAAAAAATCTAGAGCAAATTATTTATTATATAGCATGTTTTTTACATAACAGGTATCTGCTATAAAATAAAGATCAAATTAAAACAAGTAATTGTTGGGTGGGGGACTGGGGCATAAGAGAGGATGGTCATACTAGAGGTGTGACCTTTGCTTCAGTTTCTTTATCTGTAAAACAGAATAAAAATAGTACTCTTTCATCCACTGTTACGCATGTTATAGGAGTTTACATATGACTGACATAAGGTAAATTCTATACACATGTTGGTATTGTTGTTACTTGCTTAATTTAAAATAATTACAAAAATGCAGAGTATGTGATGATATTTTATAGCCTGGCCCATTTAAAGTTAAGAGTTCACATGTGTTTGTTTACATATATGTTTTAAGGTGAGTTATTGTAAAGTTAATTGGTGACATGGTAACTTCTGTTTTCTTGTCTTTGTGGCCTTACGAACTAAAGAGTGAAACAATAGTTTCCCACGTCCTTCTCAGGGAAATTTCAGTCATGACTCTGAGTTCTAATTTGGGGCATTTGTATTTCATACCCATCTAGGGGGATCAAGTGGAGTTGTTGTGGGGATGACATAGGTAGGCACCAGCCCCCAAGGCAAGTGCTGGCTTCCCCATGACTAGAAGGGCTGGGTGTGGCAGGCTCTGCAGATAGATGAACAGGCACCCCACTTTCAGGCAAGAGCTAGAGATTGCAGGACCTCTGAGGGCGGGCAGGTGAATGCCCAGACACCCAGAGGTCAAATACTGGCAGAGCAACCCAGGAAGTCACAGTAAAGATCTCTGGGGCAAGTAAGCATAGAAGAATAAATATTGCTTGAGTGGTTCTCCACCTTCTTATGGACCATAAGACTTGAAAAATGAGAGACTTTCAACCTATGATCCTATTATTTGCTAGAGTATAGGAAAAAAATAATTTTTAGAGCACCATCCTAAAAATATAAATTTTGCCTAGTAATTATTGACCACTAAAGCAATTTAACGTGCTGTTATATAGGGTCCAGCACTCACCAAATCATGCCTGGATTTGTGAGGAAAATATCTTTGTAACATGTTCAGATACAGAGTTCTTCTGCCGCAGAGATCTCCAGGATACTGATCCAAAACAGCCTGGTAAATCCAGTGGTCTTCTTCACTTAATTGGAAGTTTCTGGAAGCAATAAAAATGTAACAACACATTGTTAAGCAATCAGGGAGTTTGAGGGAACTCAAACTGCTCAAGCTATTAGCAAATGGTACTGATTACATAAAATGAAGTCTGGGGTTGGTTTTTTAAAATACATTAGCCAAATTATATGTCTGCTATAGAAAAGGTTCTAAATTCTAATACAATGGGTTCTTCAATCCTTTATTGGTCTTGCCAGGAGTTCCAGGCATAATTTCAAAAAGTTTGCCAAGTGACATAATATTTTTTAAATATTTATTCTATCTTCTCTATAAGAATATTTAAAAAATCATGACCAATGAGTGAAATAAACAAAAACTGGGAAATAAATCATTAAGACATACAGACTAAAAAGGAATTTTTATTCCTGGAGGAAAACACAAATGTAGACAGTTAAATGAACAATTACACAGAGGAAATTAAGGCCTGAGGAAAGCACTTACTTAAGGTTTCACTTTAAAACAAGTCTAAAATTATCATTTACTTTACCCTCTCAACTTCTCGCTTTGTGGGATTTAGACTAGATAATGTTAGTGAGAAGATTATCAATGGCATTAAATTTCAGATCACTGAAGAAATCATTTGTAAATAGGAGCTCTCTTCAAGGCCCTACCTAATAACATGTCCACCCTGCTCCAAAATGTCTTTTTCATTTCAGGACACTCCTAGGCACTGGCCTAGTTTGTGTTCTACGTAAGGTATTAGCAAAGCCCTATGCAGAGTGGAAAGTTGCAATATCAGCTTGAACTCTAAACTGAATTAATGTCTCTTTATTATTCTGGGTTTATCTGCATATTGTTATTCTTGTTTAATAAATTGGAATAATCAAATACAGATGCAATCAGAGAGAATATTATTAGCAACAAGTATTTTTTTGATCCAAGATGGAGAGTTGCTATTGTTTATTTCTACTATATCAATGATCTTTTACTTTAAAGTTAATTGTGCAATTCAAAGAATTTTTCATAATATGTCTTCTATGCCCTTGAAAAATATTTGACAATTTAAAATAGAATAAAAGCCTCTCTAAATCAGTTATACTAATGGGAATTCCACTGTCCTCATACAAGGTTACCTAGTTTTTGTAAAGCATTTCATTATTCTGGTAAGTAGCAAGAAAGAAAAAATTATCTTTCAAAGAAGATAATCTTCACTAACAGCTCTGTAATGGGAAGAAAAAGAGGGTTGAAGGCGTTCTACCAGGAAGAAGCATACTCCACAGTTCTTCTGTATGACATAATAATCTATTGCAGAGAAATAATTTGAGATGAATTCATTCATTGAACACAATGAGTGTATTGCTTCTGTCTGAATCAGTTATGAATGTATAGACAGTCAAAGGCTTCTGCAAACAAAGTATTTCATATAGAGGTATTAAGCCCGTGCAAACACTTGCCTGAGTGTACTTGGCATTAAAAACACCCTCAAGTCTTCATGTATAATACCTAATGTCCTCTCTCGAACTCATTTTTGTTCACGATAACAAAAATGCATTTTAATAGCAGAGTTAGCCACTTAAATTCTCTATTACTACACCACAAGTAACAAAAAAGAATAGACCTGAGGTTCATGTCTTCATTTATGCTTTTAAACTGTTTCTCTAATCGAAGGAACTTGAACATGGTTTGACTTTCCACCTTTATTTGATTACAAATGTGGATATATGTGGCCGGGTGTGTGCTGAGGAGGGGAAAGTAACAGAATTGAGGTCCAGTAAATTGTCCGTTTTTTTAAGTTGCCATTCATCTATTCAGTGGATGTTGTTGGTACCATGCCAGATCTCCCTTATTAGCTAGAAGTCCCATCACCAAGATGCTGATAATACACAGATGCACCTCCCTTCTCTGGAGAATTGCCCCGGACCAAATGGGAACTGCCTCACCCAGGAGGCTTCTCTCCTACCCGTTTTTGAGGGCAGCTGCAACCAGTTTGGCTGACATGGGGGAACAGAAGGCCAACCCACTTGCCTCACGACGGAACCAACTCTGCGATACCATTCATGCTCTAGAGTTTCACTGTGGGGGCAAACGGCAACCCATATCCACCGAGATCACCTCCATGCAGAGCCATTTTCCCCTCATCTTTCTTTCTTCCCTTAACATCCTTCTCCTGAGAGCATTGCCCAACAAATCACTTGTTCTTACAATTCCTGTCTCAGCTTTGCTTCTACAGAACCTGACCTAAGATAATCTCTAAGCCATCTTACCCATAATTTTCAAAAATAGTTTTAATCCTTTGGTAAATGGAGTACTTCTAAGCTAATTGCTTTGATGATCTCTCATACTGAATGGTGGTGCAAAATGTCAGCTACACTCAAAGAGAAAGTGCAAATGGCAAACATGTACAAAAATGCTTTTCAAATAAAAGCACACATTAAGCAGTGTACATTGCTATAAATAAATGTAGCAGCAGGAGAATTTGTGGCACTGAGTGCATTTTTACATATTGTGTGAATGTATTAATTAGGTGCCATTATAGTGACAACATTAAAACCACTTAAACATATGAAATGATAATATAACATCAAAACTATTTCAAACCAAGAATGCCACAAATGATCACATCCATTTTGCTCTTCTTACTGACTTTAGAAACCTCACATTTCAACAGCTTTAGCCAATTCCCACAATTATGCAAATTGTAAGTCATTTTTCTAGTATACATAGAATAAAAACAAAAAAAAATACCTTAAAATGATATATAAATACTCACAATATTATTATTTTAGAGTATTTATAGCAGCTTTTAGAGCCACAGGCTTAAATTTTGAGGCAAATATTCACGTCAGCAATAGTAATGGCACAGTCATACATCTCCATTAGGATGCTCTTTGTGAGGGAGAAAGCTCCCACCAGTGTATATATATATATATCTTCTGGATAGTAAAAATCTAAGAGGAATATTTAAACATAATAGCCTCTTCACAATAACAAAGTAGCTGTTTCCTACTTAGCCTCTAAAATAAAATAAAATTTAATGAATCTGCATTTCTAAATTCCAATCTGGACATTTATCTTTCCTAATCAAATGTCTTTTCATTGTACAGAAAAACCTATGTGAAATAGCTAAGCTATATAAAATAACTAAGGTTAGCTTTTATTTTATTTCTTAATTTTTAAAAAGATTTTATTTATTTATTTGACAGAGAGATAGAGAGAGAACAAGCAGGGGGAGCGGCAGGAAGAGGGAGAGGGAGAAGCAGGCTCCCTGCTGAGCAGGCAGCCCGACGTGGGGCTTGATCTCAGGACCCTGGGATCATGACCTGAGCCAAAGGCAGTCGCTTAACAAACCGAGCCACCCAGGCACCCCTAAGGTTAGCTTTTACCTTCCAAATTTCCTGCTTAATTTAATTGCTTTGCTGGTGATTCCAATGACAGAAGTAGCTAAATTATACAGCTATTGAAAACTCTTCTGATCACGTACCTACTTTCTGAATTTGAAAAGTGACTCCATAATTTTAAAAAATTTAAAGAAGGCTTTAAAATTATCCTAAACTTTTGCAACTTTTAAATTATCTTTAGAGAAAAAAAATCTTTGGCAGGTCTGTGCAATTTCTATTCTTTTTGCCCACCCAAATTTTCTAATTTAAAATGTTTCATAATTTTCATCTTTATAATAGCACACCAAGATTTTACAGTTTCCAGGTTTATTGGGCACTTCTAACACTTCAGGAAATTCCAGACTGCAGAAGTGTGAGATATCTACCATTCAGTCTCCACCTACCATCCCCACCCCATAATGAAGTCGCATGATATAATTTTATCATGATATCCCAGGATGAGACAAAATAGGTAATTCAGAAAAGGAGGACAACAGCTGTGAGAATCTAGCTACACTAAGGCTGATTGTCTCCCTAATTCTACCTGTTTGAATCATTCCAAAAATCCTAAACTGACTCACAATTAACTTAGCCACCAATTTTCTTCTTAGTCATCCTTAAGTCACTTCCTTTAGGTTCTGGCTCCATGACCTCAATATACATTTGTGGTGGGGGAGAAGCAGAGAGGCAGGCAACTGTGGCAAACAAGGTACCTAAGGGTGACAAGTACTTTAACAGCAGAGACAAGTCTATGAAACTAAACGTTGTGTTCACAAATGGCTGAAAGTTGTTTTATAATTTTCTCAGAGCAAAGGGAGATTTCCAGCAAAAAGGTAGTACCTTCTGAAGTTGCCTGATACATCTAACAGTGAGCTCGAGATTGGCAACTGGCCATAGTGAATCTGGCCTAAAGAAAAACTCTTTTAACTCTTCTACTGTAACAGTGGCAGGAGACACCTAGTGCTTCTCTCCAGTAAGAAGCAGGATTCCAATGAACCACTGGTGGATTAATATGAATAAAAGATAGCTCTGATGTAATTGGCTTGTTTGGCTGCATTGGGTCTGACCCTCTAGCAAATACAACTTGACTCTACTTTTTAATGTGATCTTTCCAAATCAGATCCAAACACTGAATCTAATCAGCCTGGTTCCTGAAACTGTCTCCCCACCCAACTACCACACCACCCCACTCCCATTATCCAAATATAAATCTATCTTTGATTTTCAGCCTGGTTTACAGGGGGCTTCCTAGCCTTAGACTTACTTCTGACCAACAGAATCTTCTCCTTGGATTTTGTTTGGGTAAGTACATTGTCTTTCCAGGAGATCCATTCTCACTCAGCAGTTCTCACCTCCAGGTTCCCTAGGCTCTGCCCAGTCTGCCTACTTAGGTGGGAGCTGACGGCTAGAATAAGGTAAGCTCTCAGAAGTATGGCCATCGCTTTTCAGCCTTTTGGCTAAGATCAAGTGTAGAAGTATGGCCAAAATCCACTGAATTAAAGAATCAACAACAAAATTGCCTGTAGGGAAAAGCCAGAACTTGCATCAGCATCCAAAGCCACAGAGAAGTGACAAGAAAGTGAAAATGTGGTAGGGTTCTAAAATTGACAACCCCAGAATTTCTTATAGAATGGTTTAGGGGCATAAATCTGGCCAGAAGAGGAGG